GGGCTCACATCTGCTCTGAGTGCTTTTGCATATAGATGTCACAACTGCCAACCTTCATGTCCCAGAGTAGAGCAGTTGCCTTCAGAGGCTTCTTGATTCAGGGTTTGTGATTTGCCCAGCAAGGCTGCATTGCCATTAGAGCTCCTCTGTTCAGTGGAGTTTTGTGCTGCTCCTTTCCTTTGGCATCTCGAAAGTCAAGGATCACACTAAGCCATGAAAGTCGATGGAAATCAGGTGTTCTTGTCCTCTTGAGAGCATTTTATTTCCTTCCATTGCTCAGGTGGCACAGCACCACTGGTGATCTGCTCAGACTGTTACGACAATGCAAACATCTACTCCAGGACACGAGAGTACTGTCCCTACACCTACATCACAGAGGAGGACCCCCTGGATCCAACTCTCCCTAATCTCATGGTGCAGATGCCCAAGGAAACATACCCAGCACACACCCAGCATGAGACCAGTGCTCTTGATAATGCTTATGGAGACAGAGATGTGTCTGTCTTCCTTACCAGTCACGACAGAATAAGTGAGAAGAAAATCTCTTCCCAGCAGATTAATGGTGAGCGTGTCCTTTTCCCTCTGAATATTTTGTATTTTCTGATATTGCTGACCTTCCTTGTGCTGCTTTCCACTGTTGATTCACTGCTAATTCTACAGACTCCATAGTGTGTGGAGTAGTTCATCTGTTGATGCACTGCTTGTTAGCAGGACCAGCCCTCAGTTTGCATGCAGTATGCAAGAGTTGAAGAGGACGATGTTACAAAAGCTGTGTTTCTTAGTGTGCAGTCCACCTCTTACAGCTGGTGGGATGGGATCCCTTCCACATCTGTTGGCCCAGATTTAAAACGTCACATAGGAAACACAGAGCCATCCTGTGTGAGCTGGGCTGAGTTTCAGCTAGCTCCAAAAGAATTATTTTTGTAAATTGATTGATTTTCGTGTGGACTTTTTTCCAGGTCGCCTTTGTAAAAATTCACACTGGAACTGTTTGTTATTTTTGTGTTACTGTACCAAATATTGCTGAAATGAGAGGGCATCCAGCAAAGGGTGCCCTCAAAAACAGAGAGAGCAGCCTCAGGAGGAGGTTCTTGCTAAACAGCACGACTCAGAAAAATCTAAGCCTTGTGTTTGCTTACCATGAACCCACTCTGTTCATCTCCTGCTGTTTCTTTTTCAGAACCCTTCCAGCTTCCCTTATGGGCGGTAAACAAAGACCTGGCGCTCTCCCACTCGCACTTTCTGCAGCAGCAATCGGCTCGTGAGGCCCCGCGACCTCTTCGAACTGAGGGGATCCTTGACAGTGAGAGGGAGCAGGCTGCTTCACCCAGAGCCCTGCACAGGTTACGTGAGCAGAACTTTGATTTTAATAGGACACGGAACATTCGCGACTACAGCGAAACCACGTAAGGCACGGGAATGGAGCCTTGGAAGCAAATCCCTATCAGCTGACTTGTATTTCTACCTCAGGACTAAACTCTAGGCCAAAGATGCTTTAAACGTGTGTCTGCAATTCCAGGCTGCCTGAGCTGAGGCAGACCCCCTGGCAGGAGGTGGCACTGCCCTTTTTGCTTGGATTCATGTGTGCTGCAAGGTGGGACAGAACACGCAGTGATCAGTGACTGGCGTTACAGCATGGATCTTCTGATGTTGGGAACAGCCTTTGTGTTGGTGCATGCTTTGAAAATCTCTCAAGAATGCATAGCTATTTCACACCACATTGTCTGCTTGAAAACAAATGTTCAAGGCCTCCTCATGGAATTCCCCAGTAATTGTAAGCATAAAACTTTTGGCCAGCTTTTTGTTCCTCGGTCTGTTGGCAGGCGTTTGTTACCAGTCTCACTTTGGGGCTGTTTTTCCCTATGAAAAAACAAACTCTAGTTGTAAATAAAGTTGCATTTATAAATATTTTGTACACACTAAGCATATAAATGCCTTGGCTGTAATGTAAATATATTTTTTATTATGCCAAAGTATGTATTATACTGTTGGTCTTGACAGCTGCATAGCAAGCTGTAATTTGTTTTGTGGGATTGAAAGCTCAGTTCTGAAGGGATAAAGATGACTTTGTTTTGGAAAGAAGTGAATTTACAACAGGTACGTAGTGAAACTGTGATACTGATAAATTTCATTGCTGCATGCATCTCTGTGTGCATTGAGCTTGGCTGACCTGCCTGCAGGCTGATCCATTTCGTTAGCAGAATTCCAAGTCTGACCCGTTCCTGTGGTGAGTCCTTAATTTCTATACTAGGCAGCCTGTCTTTTCCAGTAGAGCCTAAAGCCCAACAGGCCCTGCATTAACAGCTAGCCTGCTCCAGCCTCCAGTGCAGTCCAGCTTCTCAGGAGTTTCTGTAATAACAAACAAGTATGGTACACAAAACAGTTTTCATCTGCTAAAACAGCTCTAAGATGGGACCTCTGAGTGGTTTGGTTCAGAAGTTTGTCTGAACTTCTGTCTTTACAAAGCCTTTGTGTTGTGCATGTTGCAGGGAGGCACGTGTGCATCTTCCATAGCTGACAGCTAAACGAACTTCTGCAAGGAGTGTCCTGATGAAAGGCATGGGGTGAGTTGGAAAAGCACGTGATGAATGCGCCACGAAATCCAGCATGGATTTTCTGTTTCCTCCGCACTGCCAGGAAGCACGTGGGCCTTTTCTTTCATAAAAGAGCAACGGGATTCTTGCTCTGTTAAACCCTATAAAGGTTCTGTAGGCCACAGTGTGGTCAAGATGTGAAGCATTTGACAGGTGAGCTGCTAAACAGCAGGAGAGCCACTATTGAATATGCAGCCCTTGCTGGGACAAATAGAAGAAGTGCAGAAGCTTCGCAGGTTGCAGTGGGGTGTGTGTGACAAACTGAGGAGGAAGAGCATTACAAAGACTTGTTCTGAGTTGTTCTTCTGGGAAAACACATCTTTGTGTTTTGTGTGACGTCCCATCAGCGATGGGCTTTGAGCAGAACGTTGCGCTCAGAGCTCGGGGTTTTCTGTCTCTGCTCTGCTTTTTCCGAGCCGTGGGCTACAGAGCGAGTGAGAGCAGCTGTGTGGTATGGCTGGAAAGACAGAACCTTCCTGGGGCAGCCCAAGCTGTGGGTCGGGATTCCCACTGCTCCATTCCTGGACAGAGCGTGTGACTGAGGGTCTGATGCAAAATCGCAGCTGAAAACTTTGGAGACTGGGGAATGGTTAAGTGAAAGAGCCAGGAAATGCTGGGAGAAATATTTTCCCACGTCTCTTTGGGCCTGAATAGTAGATGTATGTAAATGAGCAAATGTTACTGAGGGCTCTTACCTTTGTTTTGAAAGCAACGGCAGTTGCCTTGGTAGCCAGCAGCTTCAGTAGGAAGAGGACCTCATTGTCTTTGACCTTTGTATGAAGTGGGGAAGGAGGTGTGTTAAACTCAGCCTCTGACCTCTCAACTATTGTAAGGACTTACACAAAACATACAAAGAATTGTGTGTTTGTTTCTTTCTGGTTTGGTTTTCTCCAGGCTTTTCCCTTCCAGACAGCATTGAAGACGTTGTGGTTATGTTCTATCCCAACTTGTTTCTGTTGCAGGAGCTGTCAGTTTAAATTCAAATGAGAAAGGTCAGGTCATAAAACTGCAGCAGCAGCACAGAGCTTCCTGTTGGACTGCTGGCTGCAGCTATTCACACAGGCTGATGTGGCAGAGCTCTGCTCAGCACGAGCAGGAAAGCAGCATCCCTACTGCTGCTGCTTGGTCTGCCATCATCCTTTGGGACATGTTGAAGTTTTCCTTCCATCCCTCTTTGGGTTAAGCTAACACAGGTCTCAGCTCGCTTGGTTTAAGTGGTGATGTTGGTGTGCACAAGGGGCACCCACAGCTGGAGTGCTCTTAATGCACAGCTCTGCAGCACAACCAAATTCACACGAGGTTGGCAGGATGTGGTTAGCCAGGAGCAAAGCTTTAGCATCGTGCTGTCTGCACCAGAACAAGCTGAAGCCTGAGCTCTGAAATGCATTTAGGAGTTAAAGCTGCTCTGATTTCTAGAATAATTCACCCATAAAAGCTGCCATTGTGAATTAGGACGCTTGAATCCTTGCAGCAATGCAATCTCTGTGAAGTCCAAAGCTGGTTGTGAATAGCTGAAGCTTGCAGGTAGGTGAAGGAAGGCCTGCACATGAAGATCAGGGGTTTCTTCCTTTCCTGCATGACGTGCAGGCAGTGCAGTGGCCGTTCTGATTTCAGTAAACAGTTTCTTCAATCAATGCCAAAGTATTCATGGTAGGGAATGGGGGGCTGTGTGATCAAAGCTGCTCTGCTTCCCTGTTGCTATTTCCTACTATTTTTTTTTTCCTCACGTAAGAATGTATATTTTGTATAGGATGTGTAATATATGTTTGTCTATTGTAACATACCTTCAATAAAATGCTATGTACACTGAGTATCCATTGTAATTTTCATTAGTTTGCAGATTAAATAATGTATTGTTACTGAATGATATTTAATTTTTATAGGGAGGAAAATAAAAGTCAACTGCATAAGTCAGTTTCAGGTGGGATTCTGATCTTGTTACTGTGGATGTTACATCAGTCCTTTGCTGTAATGGTGGGAAGAACAGCTGGCATTAAGCCTGGCTCAGTCAGCTGGCACACGTGGCAGCAAAGTGATGCTGGCGCCGTGCAGCCCTTCCTCAGAGCGTTGCCCACCAGCTGCCACGCCTCCTCCAAGCTGCTGTAAGTACTTTTTTCCCTCCTTCAAATACCTTTCCCTGTTCCTATCGCTGTAACTCTGTGTTCTGGCCAACACCTTGGCAGTTCCTGCCCTCTGTTTGGCACGCCTTCTCCATTTTACCTTGGCAGCAGCTGCTCGGTGGGGCTCAGCCCTGGGTCCCTGCGCAGCTCTGTGCTGCACGCACTGCGCCTGCCAGCACTGCTCCCCCAGGCAGAGCAGCATCACCTCTGTAGGACCTTCATGCAGCAGCCACAAAGCTGTATGTAAATGCTTGTTCCTTTGCTTTTTCAGCAGGAGTTAAAGGGCTGCCCTTTCCCTGCATGGAGGCTCTGGGCTTTGCGTGCCCCCTGACCCGGGTTCCTCGCTGCCCAGCTCTTACTGGGCACTGAGCACAGCTGCCTGCCTGCCCAGCTGCTGTGAGATGCATGCTGATGTTTGTGAATTCGCACAGTGTCTGCAGCATCCCCCGGAGATCAGCTCTTTGCACGCTCCTGTTTTCAACCCGCTTTCATTGCAGGAAGGCATCGGTGCTGTGAGGCTGCAGGGAGCAGTGGGACCCCACCTGTGCTGGGATCAGCTCAACACGGCGTGCAGGAAAAACCAGCTATCACCTCTCCTGGTGAGTTCAGCCCTCCCAGGTTCACCGTGCACATCCCAGCCCTGGCACGGTGTCAGAGAAGCAGAAGCTATTGAAGATAAGATCATGAATAGTTAATGCTCTCAGTTACCCAAGCATATTTAAAAATTAACACTGCAGCCTGGTTGAGATGAGATGGAAAAAAAAAAAAAAAAGAGGGGAAAAAAAAACAACAACCAAAAACTGGGTCATCAAAGGGAGGGGAAAACCAGAAAACAATTGCATCTACCCTTGGGCTTTGTTAACAACTGAGTTTTCGTGGAAGATCCCATCCCTTGCTTGCTCTCCCTCTACACTTGGCAGTGTAGCAGCTCCCATCCTGGCCCTGCAGTGCTCCCAGCACAGCTCTGCCTTCCTCCGGTCAGGAGGTCAGTGTGGGTGTTAAGGAAAGCTCCTGCCCCAGGGGCTGGGCACAGCACAGGGCAGTTCCCTGCTTCCCATCCTGCTGTGCTGCAGGGAGCAGTGGCAGGAGGAGCTGCGGTGGGATTCAATGTGGCAGAGCGCTGGCAAACCCACGGCTTCTCGTTAACACTGTTAGCCCTGCAGCTGGGCGCAGGTCCATCCCGGGTTCCTCTCTGCAGGGAAATGGAGCATGATGATCACCACCACTTATCTCATTTTCTCCCCACGAGAAGCGATCGATCTGCGCTGCAAAGGCTTTGTGCTGATTGATCCGTAAGTGTTTATGGGCAGGCAGGGACTTGCACCAAAGCTCTGTGTGCCCTTTGGGAGGCTCTGTCTGCCCTTCTGCCTTCTCCAGCCTGCCTGCAGTGCTGCCCACCCATGCCGGGGCCCGGCGTGGTTCCTGGGCTGCGCTCTGTGCCCTGTGCAGTGTGTCACACTCACAGCCACATGGCTGCCCTGGGGTCTCTCTGTGAGTTCTCTCCCACCCTCACTGTGTTTTTCCACAGGTCCTGGCTGTATTTCGTGTCTGTGGGGCACTGCCAGGAGTGTGTGCTGTGCAGGGCTTTGGGTTCTGCCACATCCCAGCTGGGGCAGAGCAGAGCTGTGGGGCTCAGTGCAGACCCCAGGCTGCGACTTGCAGCTCTCACCTCCAGCTCAGCCCTTGGTGGAGGCAGATCTCCCCTAAATGAGATCCTCCTGAGCAATAAGTCGTGTGTAACACAGGGGATCACTGCTCTGCTCCTTGCTTTGAGGGTTCGATTTCATACTATGCTTAATGTCTCATCCGAAGACTTATGTGTGTAATTCATGCCAGCATTTAGAAAAATCCCCCGTATCCACGCTCAGATTCACTGCTGCTCTGGCTCTGCTCAGCTCTGAGTGCCATCGAGCGCTGCTGTGATTTGTGGGTTGCCAAAGGGGATCTCAGGATGCAGAAATAAATGTGCCCTGCTCGACAAATGGCGAGGAGCCCGCAGAGCCCTGGCAGCACTCAGCCCAGCCTGGCATTGCAGGCTGGATCCCTCCAAGAAATTTTAATTAACTTAAAACAAATGCGCAGGAAAGGGCCAGCCATTAGCTGCTATTGCTTCCTGAGTCTCATCTCTGCTAATTAACAGCGTGTCAGTGCAAACGACCTACGGATAGCAAAGCACCGAATTTGCATTTAAATTAAAAACCATATTTTTAAAAAATAAAGGTTTCATCGCGCCCTGATTGTTTGTCTTTCCAGCATCCCCATCCTGCCTCCCCCCAACCCCAAGGGATGGGTGCTGCACAGGGGCACCTGGCTGCCCTCTGCCACGCTGCGCTGCCCAGCCTGACAGCTCTGATTTCTTTCTCCTGGTTAGAGAACATGAGGTTTTTGACAGCTGCCTTTGCCATTATTCTTCCCTTAATGCTGTTGTTGTTTTGCGTTACTGTCAAATCACATCTTATTAAAGTTCTTCCCATCCTGTCAGCAGCAGAGCTGAGGAGTGCGGATGCCTGCGTAATCTCCCGGCTCTGTCCAGAGAAATTGCTTTCCATTACTGATGGAGCAGTGCTGGAGGATGTGACCCAGCCACGCTGGGGGCTGCAGGCCCTGCCAGACCCTCACGGCTCTGCAGCAGCTCTGGCTCATGGGGCACAAATGCCGGGAAGCGGGCGCTGCCAGGGCAGGGCATGCAGGGTGAGGGCAGCGTCCTGTGGATCCAGTGTCCCATTTCCAGATCAGATTCTGATCAGCTGTTGGGCTCTGGTTACTCTTTGTTCTCCGGGAACTGTCACACCTTTGCAAAGCCACTGACGCTTCCCACGGCTTGCTAAAAATTCTGTAGCACCAAAGCAGTTCTTCTGGCTTCGTTCAGCTCCTGCCAGCAGAGCACAGGGCATGGCGGGGAGCCCACAGACCGGAGGCACCTCCTTGGTTTTGTGGCACAGGAATGTGGGCATTTCCCTTGAGCTCGTTCTGTAGCTGCCCGAAAGAGCTGGATTGCAGGGCCTGGGTCTGTGCCAGCCCTGGATGCTACTGCTGGTGCTGTGGGAGTGTCTCCTTTGGTTGTTTGCATCCTAGGTCTGAGGGGACCATGGTGGCACAGTGTGGTGATGGATGGGGCCGGGATCTGCACACTCAGCAGCAGCCCAGCAAAGTGGGTTGGTTGGAAGTCACTGCAGCAAGCACAATGTTTTTGCTGATAAATCTTGTTTGTAGATCAGCTGCATGCCAGACTGGTAAATAATGCATCTTATAGATGAAAACACTGTTCAAATGAGGACTGGAAGAAGCAGCCCTGTGCTGCAGGCACAGCCGGTCCTGTGCAGCAGGGAGGGCAGGCGCAGCGGGACCTGGGAGCAGATTGCCTTCTGCTCTGCTTTCCTAATTGCCTTCGTAAGCTTTTGGTTCCCACAACATATTCCACAAGCTTCTCCCCGAAGCATAAATCAGGGAGAGGCTTTGGTGGGAACATGAAGGTATGAACTCAGAGCAGCAGGGGAAGCTGGAGGCTGCTCAGTCTGGTAGCCAGCTCAGCCCATTCCCAGCAGCGCTCAGCCGCATTGGAGCCCTCGCACAAAGCACACGTGCAGAAGGGGCTCCTTTGGGATGGCACAGCCCTGCCCTGCTCAGGAATGGGGCCCTTTGTTGGCAGCAGCCCCCAGCAGTTGGCAGCCCTGGTCGTGGGCTGGGTGCTGTGTTTTGGGGAGCTTCATCATCCCCAGGAAGCTGGCAGTGCAGGTTCTGCCCATCTGCAGAGCTGTCCCTTCTGTGCAGGCGGGGGGGGGGGGGGGGGGAGTTTGTCAGTGATTTATTTTGTGCCGTTATTGGAAGCGATCGCTGGTCAGCAAAGCGCCGGAAGGCAGAATGGAGCAGCCTGCAGATGGCTGGGAGAAAATGGGTTCGATTCCTTGAATGCTGCTAAATGGGTGGGGAATAGTTAAGGGCTGATAACAAATCTGAATGGTTTCCAGGAGGAAATAGCATGGGACAGTTAGGGTGCTCGTGGGCTGCTGTTACAAACCATGCTGTGCATGTTGGGCTCTGAGCACATCCTGGGGCCGGGCAGGCAATGCCCTGCTCCCATTCCCCCCATCTGGATCCTCCAGTTCAGCCTCTACATCCACGAGCTTCCAGCTGGGAAGGAGAGATGAGGTGTCCTTGCTGATGCTTGCCTTTGTTCTCGATTGCAGTGCTGGGACAGCAGCAGCAGCATTGCAGCACTGCAGGGTGAGCTGAGGTCCCTGCGGGGCTGCACTCTGAGCTGCTGTTGGGTGTTTTTCTCGCAGGCACTTTGCAGAGCAGTGCCATGAGGGGAAGGGGCAGCGTGCAGCCCAGCCGCATCCACCCAACAACGGTGGGCCCTCCTTGCTTTGGTTCGAGCTCCAAAACTGATATTCCACAAAGGTAATTTTCTGCTTCCCTGGCTCAATTCTGTTCATCTTTCAGAGGGTAATTAGCATCACTTCAGTGTTCTTTTATGCCCAACTAATTGCACCTTGCTTAAGGATTGAAAGTTAATGCCTCTCCATTTCGGTTAGCGCAGCAATATGTGATTAGGGGTGAGGCCAGGCAGAAAAGTGAACCACGAGCAGCGCTGTCTGCCTGCTGGTCTGAGGCGTTCTGCCTGCACCAGGGGAGAGATTTCCCATCTCACATCTGAGATGCTCCTTATCAGCGATGCCCCAAGCACAGCGGGCAGCACACAGCAGTCAGTGCATCATACAGGGCACTGCCACAGGAGAAGGGAAAGGCTGAGCATCACTGAGTGCCAGGGAACCTCCACAAGCCCAGCAGCCGCCGTCTGGCATCTGGAGGCTTCTGGATGGGTGGCAGCAGTTCTGGTAGCGTTGAGGATTGCAAAGTAAATACTTTGTCCATAAATCTTGTCTGCTTTAAAGTAGGTTGTATTTTCAAAGCGCTTTAGTTCTTAGGAATTTAATATCGTGATGTCAGTTTTAAGACAAGTAATTGGATGCAGACAAGGTTGTTACTGGAACCTGAGATTAAAGGCAGGATTTGCAGTGCTGTGCTGCGGGCTGATGGTGCTTTGCTCCTTGCAGGTGCAGCTGTGGGTCATTCACAGACAGCACTGCTGTGCAGAGCTGTGTGCAGCCAAAGCAGAGGGCATCGCTGCAGCAGAAAAGCAATTGAAGCTCGCTGGCAACCCGTGCCCCACTTTGCAGTGCGGCCACACAGAGCCTGGAATCCTGCAGCCTTCTAAAGCCCTTTGCAGGGTTTGCTGGCTAAGAGCAGTGTTTGTTTGGGAGTTTGAAGCCTGCAGCCCTGACCTTGCTGTGACAGCAGCAGCCAGCAGGTGAGCAGGCTGCTGTGCCCGATGGAGACTGAGAGCCTATGGGCTTTGCTGTTCTAATTTGCTTATGACCCGGAGAATTAGTGAGGAGGATCTGCTATCCCGTGGTGCACTGATGGCTCCTGCAAGCCACGGTCTCCCAGGGGAAGGAGTGGTATTTATCAACCTTTCCTCTGCACACTTTATGTAACAGCACATTCCTCCAAATGTCCTCAGCGTGACTGCCTGCTCCTCTCTTTTGTTCATCCTGCAGTGTTTTACTTTCTATATTTCAAGGACCTGAGGAAGCAAAGCAAGGCACTGAAGCCCTCCCTGCACAGCCCTCCTGGGCAGTGAAGGAGCAGCAGAGAGAGCTCTGAGTCCTGAGGTGCTGCTGCAGGACCAGGGCTGCAGTTCTCCATCTGCAGACGGTGCACATCTGAGTCCTTTGCACTGCTGCACAGCGTTGTGCACCCAGCAAATCCTGGAAGGTTTCCTTCCTTCCTTTCTTTCTTCTTTCCATGTGCAGGCCCTGTAAGCTCCCATACCTGGCTGCCGCTCTATAAGGGCTTTTGTCTCCATTGCTGTCTTTTTTTCAGGGACCACGAGAGCCCGAGAGCGGCCGAGGTATCAACTGGTGCTCTGAGTTTTCCATTCCTATTATTAAAAGAAATTTTCCCATGAAATAATGCATGAATGGAAGAGATGGTAGAGAATCTGCTTGCACAGAGCAGCCCCTGCCTCTGTCTGCAGGCTCCTGCGAGCTGAGGGGGAGCTGCAAACGAGCACGAGGCAGTTTTATGCTTCTATTTGCCACTAGTGCTACTATGATCCGTGAGCCGTAACAGACAGATCTTTCCCAAAGCTGCAATAATAAATCATAAATATTTATGGCACTTAATCACGAGGCGGCAGCAGCGCAGAAGCACCCGACCCAGTTCCAGCACCCGGGGTGTCGGTGCTCACAGGGTGCAGGGGCTCAGCCTGAGCCATGAGCACCCATCTGTGCGCTCCCCGCTTTGATGGGGCTGGGCCACGTGGAGCAGCAGCCGCACAGAGCCGGCAAGTCAGAAAACGAGCTTTGAAATCGACGCCAACGGAGCGTCTGCTGCAATGGAAACGGAGCGGCAGCGATGTGACAGCGAGGAGGAGGGTTCGCCTGAGAGCCGTTTCCTACTGGAGTGCTTGGCAGTCCTTCCCAGTTAGCATCTCACACACGTGTGCTCACTCAGAAAAGCCATGAGGGGCTCTTGTAATGTCAGCCCACTCCTCTGCAGGTCCCACTGAACGCACCATGGGCCGGGTGGTGCTGCTGCAGTGCTCCGGATCCCCACCTGCTGTCATCACACCTGCACCAAGCACTGCAAGTTGTGCTGGTGCAAGCCAACACGCCGAGCCTGATTGAAGGCACCAGGCAGTGTTGGATGTGAACCTGCAGTTAATTGCGTCTTCTTGCTAAGAATAATTGAGTAGCCTAAGTTCTGAACTCCGTAATTGCATCCTAATGAACTGATGTGTCAATTCTGGCATCTTCTGGTACTGAATGGCCGCACCGCTCGCTTCTCAGGCACACAGGGGCAGAAGTGCCAACACACACTGTGTGCTGGAGGGGGGCTGCCCAGCCAGGAACTGAGCTGAGTGAGGAGCAGAAACAGGAATGCCTATTGACTCCAGGAAATGGTTTGAAGTTGAGGGAGGGAAGATTGAGGTTGGATGTCAGGGGGAAGTTCTTTCCTATGAGAGCAGTGAGGTGCTGGAACAGCTGCCCAGAGAGGCTGTGATGCCCCGTCCATCCCCGGAGGTGTTCAAGGCCAGGTTGGATGGGGCTCTGGGCAGCCTGGGCTGGTATGAAATGGGGAGGTTGGTGGCCCTGCGTGTGGCAGGGGGTTGGAGCTTCGTGATCCTTGAGAATCCAACCCAAACCATTCTGTGATTCAGCAAGAGATGGAAGCAAACAGACATTTGTTATGAACTGTGGTGACTGA